TTTTTTTACATTTTATTTATTTAATTTGTATTTTTTTATTTATCAATTTAATTTTTTGTGCAAAGCAGGACTGAATGTAGAGAGGGCAACTTACCGCCCGACGCCCGGAACTTCCCCACAAGGACGCCGCTGCCGCCCTGCCGCCCCGAGGCCGGGCCTCGGTGGCCTTGTGGGGAAATCCGGGCCTGACCGGTCACCAAGCTCTGATGTTATTATTAGTTTTCTGTGGTATTTATGACGCACCAACACTTTGCGCACTGATAAAAGGGAGGAGGTGATAAAGGGGAGGACGTGATAAAGGGGAGGAGGTGATAAAGGGGAGGAGGTGATAAAAGGGGGGAGGTGATAAAGGGGAGGAGGTGATAAAAGGGAGGAGGTGATAAAAGGGAGGAGGGGATATAAGGGAGAAGAGGTGATAAAAGGGAGGAGGTGATAAAAGGGAGGAGGTGATGGGAGGAAGTAGAAGTTCAGTCTTTAGGTGGAGGCGGGATCGGCTTCCCTGAAGAGATGAGGTGGGCAGAGGAGGAGATAGCCGTCAGGTTGGGGTAGGGAGTTCCAGAGGATGGGAGAGGCTCTGGAGGGGAGCATAGGATGTCACAATAGTCTAGGGGAGCGACCACCGGGAAGTGAATTAGAAGCTTGGTGGTGTCAGTGGTTAAGAAGTGGCGTATGATGGAATGACCTCTGACCTGGGCTGCAGTATGGCTGGAGACCAGTACAGGGGGGCCGGCGTTAGGCAACATTGTCAGAGGTTGTACTGGAGAATCTCTGGTACCATTGGGTGATGGAGAGTCAGACATCAGCCGGTTCTGGGGGGGATGTGGCGGGTCTGTGATGGCAGGAAGGGTGGGCCGGTGTCTTGTGCAGGGGGGGCCCCACGTGTGCACAGCGGAGTTCCCCCGGAGCGGTGCAGCTCCCATAATGAACATGTGTCTGCAGGTGATAGAGACGGACCCGGAACCGACACACACACTTCTGGATGACGGGTCCCGCCACGTGGAGCTGCTGGTGAGTGCGGCCGTGGACTACGCTCAGTACAAGGCCAGCTCTAAAGACATCAAATTCCGGGACACCCTCCTGTATCAGACTCGCGTGTACAAGTGAGTGCCGAGACCACCCAGACTTCTGACCTATCTCTGTGTGACCTCTGACCTATCTCTGTGTGACCTCTTCTCTATCTCTGTGTGACCTCTTCTCTATCTCTGTGTGACCTCTGACCTATCTCTGTGTGCAGGAACTGACCTCCTCTATGTCTCTGTGTGCAGGAACTGACCTCCTCTATGTCTCTGTGTGCAGGAACTGACCTCCTCTATGTCTCTGTGTGCAGGAACTGACCTATCTCTGTGTGACCTCTGACCTATCTCTGTGTGCAGGAACTGACCTATCTCTGTGTGACCTCTGCCCTATCTCTGTGTGCAGGAACTGACCTATCTCTGTGTGACCTCTGACCTATCTCTGTGTGCAGGAACTGACCTATCTCTGTGTGACCTCTGACCTATCTCTGTGTGCAGGAACTGAACTCCTCTATGTCTCTGTGTGCAGGAACTGACCTCTTCTCTGTGTTTAGGTTCCTGTTACAGAATAGCGGTACTGTCCAGCTTGAGTTCTCCTGGGAGGTCCAGATGGAAGGACAGAGCAGAAGCACAGAGAAGGGTAAATGGACTCTGTGTATCCCTGCACTAAGCTGCTGGTGATGGGTGGTGCTGATTTGCTGTCTATGATCACATGACCACTACTGAACACAAGAAACATAATGACCTCTAGTAAGGAGTGCCGGTTGGTGGAGCGCGGGGGATGCGGGTCATGTGACCACCAAGATGATGGGACCCCATTACATCTCCTTTATGGGGCTGAGTAGGCAAAATATAAGAGTGCTACGAGGGAATTGTAT